GTCACCATAAATGTGGTACCCGTTCACTCACGATTTCCGGTCACGGAGATACTTGATCGATCCGGACGTTCCAAGGCTGGAGAGGAAAAGTTAGGGAGGGAACGCGACAGCACCACACTTGAATCTGGGTTTTGGATTGGATTCTATTTCATTGATGCTTGCTTATATATGTCCCCATCTGGGGAGGAGCGTCATGATCTACCAGATGGTGTGCATAGGACAGTCTGGATGAGCCAGCTGATGGAAACATCTAGCAACACTCCGATCGCCCATGACATGAACATGAAGTGAACATGGCAAACATGGAATATCATGGTAGGATGGATAGGGGCAAAATGAATTAACATGGTGGCAAAACATAGATCATGATAGAGTGAAACACGCAAGGGATTGGATGTAATGAGCTATGAATGTATGGACTATTCTTCCCTACATAGCCCCCTCCAGATGATCGCTTGACGTTTGAACCCTGTCGAGATCTTCACTGAACGGCTTGAGCCTGTCGATGGAGACCGTCTCCACACCGTTGTTAGTCTTGATAGAGAATGTCTTGTTGTTCCTTTGAACAACGTCGAACGGGCCCAAGAATTTCGGTCTGAGGCTCGGCACATTCCTGTCCTGTCGGAGTAGAACTCGTTTGCATTCGAATAGAGCCGGAGGAATAAACGTCTTTTCCTTTGCCCCAAGATGCCACAACGGTGCCCTGGCTGACTGAGCCGCCACGGCTGCCCTTAATTGCGCTGCCCAAACGTCGGTCGAAAGAGATGTTGCTGGTAGTTCCTGCAGTAGACCTGGCTGACGCATTTTCTCCCCGAAGACGATCTCGGATGGCGAGATACCGGAGTCCGTGTTGGGCGAGTTGTGCAGTCCCAACAACGCCCACGGAAGTTCCGATAGCCAGTTCGTCCTGCCTTCCAATCGTGACCTTAGAGAATCTTTGAGGCTCCTGTGGGCACGCTCAACCCGACCATTGCTCTGTGGATGGTAAGCGGTTGTTTTAATGTGGCCAATGTTTAAATTTTTCGTTGTTGACTCCCAGATCTTGCTGCAAAATTGACTCCCTCTGTCGGAAACCACGGTTTCCGGGGTACCAAAGAGTGAACACCATGATATCAGGTGCTTCGAACAAGCTTGTGCTGATGCGTCCGAAGTTGCCATTGGCCAC